GTGGCCCAAGTATTACCACTACTACTACTACTACTACTAATAATAATAATAATAGTAAGTAGACCCAATGATAGTGACTTCCTCGGGTGCTTAGAAGGATTTCAGCGAGTTAGTGTCTGCAAGGATGTAGACCATTGAGATGCTCTGTTTTTCAGTAAATCTCTGGTTACAGTGTGAGTGGTTAAGGGAGGGAAGATGGGGAGGCTTTGCAGGAGGCTGCCGTTAAGAATCCAGGAGATGCTGGTGGCAACAGCTCAGTAGTATCGCTAAAAAGAAACGGAAATGAACGCATCTCAGGTACGAAGAGAGATGGGATGAAAAACTTGAGGACGCTCAGCTGCGGGTGAACACAGCCGCTGCTGAGAGGCGGGGCCCGGAAGAGGAGCAGGTTAGGGAACAGAGACGATGAGCTCAGTTTCCCCGACGGGTAGCAATGCCCTGGGTACTGTTATGAGGACTAAGTGAGCCCAGATGGCACCTGCCGTCCCAGCTCTGCCTAGAGAGCCGGTTCCTGGGAAACAGACTTCACAGGCCGCGATCCCAGAAAACAGTCTGACTGTCGGGAAGGATGGCGAATTGGAGAGCTCGAGGCACGCGAGACAGTACAGGGGGGTGAGGCTTGCAGGCGGTTGTTCCTGGCATGGCCTGGAGTGACACTCTGAGCACAGAGCCAGGAGTAAGCCCAGAGCACTGCCTGATGTGACCCCCAGAAAAAAGAGTTGGAGGAATCCGACCCTGGGAGGTGAAACTACTCTTGATCTCAGCCAAAAGGCCAAGAAGCGACACCTGTCTGCTGAAACTATGGCAACGGCCTCACTGAGCTCGTCCCAAAGCCCCTCCCCCCACCCCCCATCTGGTGCCCGCTTTGATCCCGGTCAGCCTCCAGACAGTGCTCAGGAGCAAAGCAGAGGCACTTGCTTTGCTACAGTTCATCTTTTCTGCCCAAGACATTTATTCCCTTTTTAATGGAAAATCGACACTTGACACTCTTCATTCTATTTTACATTTTTTATGACATGTCATAGCATAAGTGGGGGGTGGGGTGGAATATGGAGAGTACTTCTATTTCTGGAAACAACAGAAACGATCTGAACGTCCCCGAAAGGGGACTGGGTGAATATCAAGTCTGTGACACACATGCTGGGTGCAGTTCCGAGTTCTGCAAACAGTCCCGCTACAGAGCCCTGCCTGGCACTGCAGAGAAGGGAGAGAAGGTGGCTCAGACTCGGGAAAGGAAAAGAATCATGTGCTGATAGAAAAGCTTAATCCACAAGGATTAAGCGTTTGGAAGAACGGACATGAACCTCCACCCCCAGCCTTTTTTTTTTTTTACTATACCTGCATTAATATTTTCAACTTCAGAAGCAATGTAGTTGTCTCACATTATGAAACATGGTCAAAGGAAAAAGAAGAAAAGGTGGTCTGAGGAGACAGTACAGTGAGTAAGGCCTTGCACTCTTGACCAGAGTTTGGTTCCCGGAGCACCGCCAGGAGTAATTCCTGAGTGCTGAGCCAGGAGTAACCCTTGAGCATTGCCAAGTGTGGCACCCAAAACAAACAACAAAAAAAGACAAAGAAAAGTCATTCCCCAAAATTAAAAGCAATTATTCCTAATTGTATTATCAAATTGGTAAGCAAAACCACACACAAAATGAGCCCAAGTGATTTCAAAACACGGTAATTTGGCAACATGTGTGCTCTACGTGCTAGCTTCTGTTTTGTTTAGTTTTTTGTTTTAGCCACACCCGGCAATACTCAGGGGTTACTTCTGGCAGTTCTTGGGGGACCATATAGGATGCTGAGGAATGAACTTGGGTCGGCCGAATGCAAGGCAGACACCCTATCTGCCGTACTACTGCTCCAGGTCCTCCTCCGAGCTATCTTAAAAAATGATATCGAACCATAAAGGAACTGTGAACGATTTAGTTAGTATTAGTTTTATTACTACAAAGGGGTACAGATATAACAATAATAATGGCTCTAGGAACTAAGGTTTTCAGTTTAAGATGAAAGAATGACAAACATTAATCAAGAGATTAAGTTAAAAACTCATCATCATCAGGGCTGGAGCAATAGTACAGTGGGTAGGGCGTTTCCTTGCAAGCAGCTGACCCGGGTTCAATCCCCAGCACCCCATATGGTCCCCCAAGCATCACCAGGAATATCCTCTGAGCACTGCCAGGTATGACCCAAAAAGAAAAAAAAAAAAAACACCTCATCATCTTAACTCAGGACTGCAAACATCCAGTAAGGATTTATTTTCCCCTTCCTGGTTCTGCCCAGTGAAAACTTCAGAAGTGACGGCAACAAAGCACATCTCACGCCTAATTTATGGTTTTCCCGAAGAGATACCATTTCCCACTAGGAGAAACCAGAGTTCCTCTGAGAAATGGCAATTCCAGGCCATCGCAGAAGATGTAAACAATGAATTCTTGTAATCCTTTAGGTCAGAGAGCAAGCAAGTTGACCAAAGATAAGAGGGTCAGGTCAAAGACACCGGGACCGTGTCATTAGGGTTCCATCTGCCAAAGGGAAGATGACCTAAATCAGAAAAACTGCCGTGGGGACTGGAGAGATGGCTCCGGGTCTAGGAGCACACACACACGCTACAGACACACACATAGACAGACAGACACACACACACACACACACACAGACACACACACACACACACACACATGCGCGCTGCAGACAGGAACCCTGGGTTCACTTCCTGGCATAGCAGCCCCTGGGGTAGCCCCCAAGCACTGCCAGGCATGACCCCCAGAGCCCCGCAAAAACCATGATTTGCAATGAACTGAAACATAAATACATGAAAAACTCATGATTTCACACTGACAACAGGAGGGAGGGGAGCACCTCACTGATGGTTTTTCAACATTTCTAGGACCTTGCTTAGGGTTCTTTGGCCCTAGGGGGTAAAGGGAGGGATTCCCCACAGCAACAAGCAATTCACAGACACCATCGGGGTGCACAAAAAGTCAACTCAACTCTGATGCCATCAGCCACAAACAGTGTCAGACTCCACGTGCTGGGTCAGGGGTCAGTCTGCCCTCTCAGATGCCAACTGGAAGTTCACGGCATACCTGGGTCTCTAGCCAAGAGGCTACAAAATGAGGGGCTCCCATTACACCTTTGGGGAAACTTTTCCCTCAGTAGATCGCAAATGTGTTCCGAAGGTTCCGTGTCCCGAAGTGAATGCATGGTCCCTCAAGTCCAACCAGGCATGGTCCTCAAATAAAGTAACAGAGAAACAATCTCCGGCATTTATCAAAGCACTTTTACTAACATTATCGCGTTACTGGGCCCGTTTGAGCAAATCGATGAACAATGGGAGGACAGTGCTACAGTGCCCTGGGTACCTGGAGGATCTTTAGGAAGCTTAAAATAAACAGAGTGACAGGGGCTGGAGAGATAGCACAGCAGGTAGGGGATTTGCCTTGCACGCGGCCGACCCAGGTTCAATTCCCAGCATCCTATATGGTCCCCTGAGCACCGCCAGGAGTGACTCCTGAGTGCAGAACCAGGAGTAACCCCTGTGCATCGCCGGGTGTGACCCAAAAAGCAAATAAATAAAGTGACTAAGGTGCACCCAAAAACTTTCCACCTCACTGTCCCCAAATAGGAGGGAAAACCCGACTCCCATGTGTTTATTTAGTCGTCTCCCAGCTCCCGTATCTCCCAGGCCCCTCTACATTTTCTGCATTTCCAGACCAGCCCAACCACAGCCACGCAGGTCCCAGGCTTGCTTTCCTGCCACTAAAGTCCACACAAAGTTCTTCCCTGTCTTTGTCAAAATAGGTCTTTTTCTGGACCACACCCGGTGATGCTCAGGGCTTACTCTGCACTCAGGGATCATTCCTGGCAGTGCTAGGGGGCCATCAGGGTACTAGGGAATGAAACTTCATTCATTACCTGCTCACCAGGTAAGCATCTTATTCCCCAAATTATCCTTCTGGCCTCAAAATCCGTCCCCCTTTGAGACCCACCACCAAACCACCTGCCTAGGAAGCAGAGGTCATTCTTCCTGCTTTTTGCCCGAACCATCTCTGGCATCCTTCCATGTGCTGCGATTCACTGACTTTTGCCAAGTGCCTACGACCATTGGTCCAGGGCTGCAGCAAATATTCGGTAAGCCCAGCTTATTTTTGGACATCTCTTCCCTCCCTCCCTCCTCCCCCAGGATCTCCATGAATAAACACGATCCACAGGGAGGTTTCCATTCTGCTAAAGGGTGACCCCAATTACTCTAGACAAGAAATCGAATGGATGACCAGAGGAAAGAGAGAGAGGCGGGGAGGAGGGGGAGAGGGAGGTTGCAGGTGCAGTGAGTGGGGACCATCTGAGTCCGCCCTCAGACGGCTGCACAGTGGAAGGCGAATTCCTTTAGATGGCAACAGTGTTTCTCAATTCTAACAATGCTGGAAGCCTCGATACAAAATAGCAACGGCCTGGACACAGAATAACCAGGCCAGGCACCGGGTGGCACCCATCCCCAACACACCTCCCTTAAAAAAAAAAAAGGTGAGGTCTCCTCCGCAGCTGGCCGTGCAGGATGAGATCTGGGCCCTTTCGCACCTCGTCCTTGCAGAGCAGTGCGCCCAAGAAGCACGACGGGAAAATGCAAAAATATATATATATATATAGCAAGGGCAGCGCCCCGCCACTGCATTGCATCCGGAAGTCGCTTCTCGCGTGGGGCAGCGGCCGCGTCTTGGGAGACCCAAGGGGTCCCGCACTGCCCCCGTTGCCAGCGTGGACAACGCGGGCGGGTGGCCGTCGGGCCCGCGCCCTCCACCCTCTCCCCTGCCGGGCCCGCGCGGAGCCTCCGCCCTCTCCCCAGCAGCGCCGCGGGCCCCTTCCCAGAAGCCTCCGCGGCACCGCGGGGCACGCTGGGATGCCAACGACCACGCCGACCCGAGGCGCGGGCCGCGCTCGGGGCCCAGGAAACCGCGCCCCGGGCCGGCCCGGCGCCTCCTCCGTCCCCGCCGTGTGCGCACCTCTCCTGGAGTTTCCGCCGTCGGGAGCCTCGCCGACGGCCGCGAAGGCCGGGAAGAGCGCCATGGCGACAGGCCGCGCCGCCGCGACCCACGGCGGAAATGGCGGCGGCGAGCGGCCGCGGGGCGACCCGGCCGCGGCGGCGCGGGGCACTCTGGGAAATGTAGTTTCCCACCGGGTCCCGGAGCCGGCGAGGGCCGGACGCCCGGAGAGTTAGTATCAGAACCCGGAGCCGAGACCCAGCGGTTGGGAGGTGCTAATAGGGGAGTTGGGGTTCCGTTCCCAGCCACTCTCTGGGTCCTCTGAACCGAACTCGCACAACTCCCCAGTTTGCCCATCTGCAAAATGTTGCAAGGTTGAAATGAACCGAGTGTGGAACTGCCAATCACTGTGCCTGGCCCCTGGACAGCCTTCAAGAGTGCAATGATCGGGCCAGCGCTGAGCAGGCCTGGAGCACACGCGGGGACCCGGGGGCTCCAGGAGACCCCAGCGCCCTAGGGAAAGGCCCTCCTGCCCCACGGTGTGGCGCCCCGCCCTAGGAAGAGATTAGGTGCGGGCATCCCTTAGTCACGTGAGATCTCCCAACTAAGCCTTTTCCCACCTGAATGTCTTTTGGGAATACAAAATGCAAGAGCCTATCAAGTTCAAAGGATGTTGCTAATGTAGAAAAGATGCCTGCTGAAAGGTATTCGTGACTTTAAAGTTCTGAATCTAGTAAGCCAGGGATGCAGGTGATAAAGGAATAAATAGCTAAGAGAACAAAGAACCTCCGGCTCTTTGATTCCACTATTCTCCCTACATTAACATACACATCAGAGAACTGAGCCCTATGAAAACAGGATGAGAACGCAATTCGGGTCTCCCAAAGAGGAATCGAAAAAGCTATGCTTGGAGTATCACGCTTCACTCAAATGAGAGAAAGAATCCGGAGTTCCAACCTTTGTGGAAGGTCACGAATCAGGGATGCTGTCTCATTTGCCAAGGTGTCGAAAATCAGATGGGCTGGACAGGTAATGAGATTTGGAGACGACCGCTGGACTAGAGCCATTACCGACTGGATTCCATGGGACATCAAAAGATCGCGTGGCCGCCCACCTACCACATGGTCTACTTCTTGTCAAGACCCTGAATGATCGGTTTGAGGCTCTTCTTGTTCTTAGAATGAGCAGATGCCATTGGGCTACATTAGCACGTGGCAGGGATGAATGAAGACATTACTGGCGCCCGCTCGAGCAAATCGATGAGCAACGGGATGTCAACTGATCAAGTGAAAGGAATAATGTAGAGTTTATACCACCTATAAGTGGAGAAGCTAGCATTCAAACCCCAGATGTGAGAAATGTCAGAAAACAGCTGATCCTTTGACCAATCAAATGGCTTAGAAACATGTCACCTGAAAGCTCTCTATAATCTCTAGATGATCAATTGGACAAGTCATGAAAAGATCTTAACACAGTTGATGGTCAGTGGTAGATGACATCAAGGGCTTCTTGTGATTCTGTTAGCTGGGCTTAAGGCACTGAGGTTACCTTGCCAGCTTTTATAGCAGTGTGGCACTGCCATCCTGTTGCATCGATTTGCTCCAGCAGTCACCAGTAACGTCTCCATTGTGAGACTTGTTACTGTTTTTGGCATTTCGAATACGCTATGGGTAGCTTGCCAGGCTCTGCCATGCAGGTGGGATACTCTAGGTAGCTTGCTGGGCTCTCGAGAGAGGAGGAGGAATCGAACCCAGATTGGCCGCATGCAAGGCAAATGCTCTACCCGTTGTGTTATCACTCCAATTGCAAGATTTTATACTGGTGAGAAACATACTCTAGACATGTATTCTAGTGTTTGCAGACAAAAATGAGAAAAATAAAATCTCGGGCCGGAGAGACAGTACTGCAGAAAGGGTGTAAAGGGTGTTTGTTTGCCTTGCTCATGGCATACCCAGGTTCAATTCCCACCACTCCAGATGGTCCCCTGTGTAGGATAACATTGGTTTGTCATTTCTCCCTTGCCACAGGGAGCGTAGGTTTATTGGGTCACACCCATCACAGTGCTCCCGAGTCACTCCCATTCCTCTGTTTATCTGTAGACTCTTCTCTGTGCTCTCCTCCCCAGCCAGTTAATCCCCTTTTTCCTTAATCAGATTCTGTAAGATCAGATCCTTTTAGGACATTGAACTTGTATTGTAAGTTAAATATTGCTTTTCTTGCCTTTTGTATAGTTTACCTTAAAGCAATGTCCTTTCTGCATGGACACACGAAGATAGTTAATATTATGCTTTGTAACTTGGGAGTTGATTGACTCCGAATAATATTTAATCCTGGGTATCTGCTTTCTTGACTCAGTTGCCCTTAGTTCCTAGCACCCCAAAAGCAGGGTCCCAACGAGGGACTAAATGGACCCAGGGCAAATTGTGAGTTACCCTGGCATCAAAATGGGCCAGGCCAAAACACCATGGTACTCAACTATAAGTTGAGGGCATGATCATGGATAAATGCTGTCATGATCCAAAAGTAACGACAAGACTAGGGCCCTGCTGGGGTTGGGAAGACTAACCTGGCCTGAGGACTGCGGTGCGGTCTATATGTATGTGTGTGTGTGTGTGTGTGTGTGTGTGTGTATAGCACAGCGGGTAGGGCGTTTGCCTTGCACGCGGCCAACATGGCCGACCCGAGTTCGATTCCTCCGCCCCTCTCGGAGAGCCCGGCAAGCTACCGAGAGTATTCGATATGCCAGACACAGTAACAACAAAGTCTCCAATGGAGACGTTACTGGGCCCGCTCGAGCAAATCAATGATCAACGGGAGGGCCTTTACCTTTTTTTACATATGTAGACCATAGTAAAAGTAAAGGCCAGGGCTGGAGCGATAGCACAGCGGGTAGGGCGTTCGCCTTACAAGCGGCCAACATGGCCAACCCGAGTTCGATTCCTCCGCCCCTCTCGGAGAGCCCGGCAAGCTACCGAGAGTATTCGATATGCCAGACACAATAACAACAAAGTCTCCAATGGAGACGTTACTGGGCCCGCTCGAGCAAATCAACGATCAACGGGAGGGCCTTTACCTTATGTAGACCATATATATATATATATATATATATATATATATATATATAATATATATATATAGTGGAATATATAGTGAGATGTACTCAGGAAGAACCAAACCTTACTTTTATATCTCTTACTTTGCTCATGCTCGAGTGGGCCCAGTAATGTTACAACAAAGTCTCCAATGGAGACGTTACTGGGCCTGCTCGAGCAAATCGACGATCAACGGGAGGGCCTTTACTTTACTTACTTTACTTTGCTCATGCAGAATGACATTGCTAGAAATATTAGTAGTAGATTTACTACAACTATTTAAGTAGATTACAAGCTGAGGAAAGAACACACCCTCGTTGGGATCCCACCCTTGAGCAGATCTCCTAGTTATCTGGAGTAATCTCTTTAGATGAGATTTTATCCTTGAGTTAATCTGGAGGAGTGGTCTTACCTCTCTCTGTTGATTTGTTAATGTTCAACCCACCTTTGTGTCACCATGCTAGATGATTGCTATGTAAACTAAGACTGTGAGAGCTGATGGGACTCGGCTCCAGAGGGCAGAGTGAGAATTGAGAGGGGCTCAGGCCTGAGAGAGAGAAGTAGAAGGGGACTGAAGGTTGGAATAAACTACAATTGATACCGACCAGTCTGGCCCTCATTCCTTCCTTTGCCTACCTCGCCAGCAGCCTCCCCGAGGAGGGGGAGCGGGGGAGTGGCTTGAGACCACTGAACGCAGGCGGCGAGAGAGAGAGAGAGAGAGAGAGAGAGAGAGAGAGAGAGAGAGAGAGAGAGAGTGCAGCTGCCGGCCTTTTGAAAACACACACCCTGAGCACCTGCAGGAGTAATTCCTGAATGCAGAGCCTGGGAAGAGTAACTGGTGTGACCCAAAAAGCCAAAAAAAGCAAAGAAAGCTTTTTGCAAAACAGGATGTTCAAAGATTAATACATAAATTGAGGGTACACAGAAAGAAGTAAAGGTGCTTGCCTTGTATGTTATCCACCCTGGTTTGATCTGAGGCACCACCACAAGTGACCCCTGAGCACAGAGCCAGGAGTAGGTTAGGAGCGCAGTTGGGTATCTCCCCAACCCCTCCTCCCAAAATTTGGGGGATTTTGTTCAAAAGACTGAGTGTGTCGGGGCTGGAGCGATAGCACAGCAGGTAGGGCATTTGCCTTGCACGCGGCTGACCTGGGTTCGATCCCCGGCATCCCATATGGTCCCCCAGGCACCGCCAGGAGGAATTCCTGAGTGCAGAGCCAGGAATAACCCCTGAGCATCGCTGGGTGTGACCCAAAACAGCAAAAAAAAAAAAAAAAAAAAAAAGACTGAGTGTGTACTCTGTATCCAGCATCATGAGTTTGATCGGAGGGACTGCCTGGTCTCTGAGCACCCTTGGCAGCGACCCCATCACTGCAGGTGTGGCCCCAAACAAAACGGGAAAGGAGAGAGATAGTTCAAGGGGCATGGTGCACAGTTTGCAGTAGGAGGCGCTGGCTTGTACCAGCATCACTACCAGGAGAAACCCCTGAGCACTACCCACCAGGTGCGACCCCAAAACAAAAACAAATGTGCATCAGGAATGGAAGCATGCAGATCTAATCGAGGATGGATGGAATCTTGCGGAAGATTGCACTCTGCATTCTTCCACGAGCCAAAGCGAGCCTCCTGCAAGGTTGGCAGTCCTCTATTCAGTACGTACACAGAGTGGCTTAGTTTAACAACAGGAGCCGAAATATGCTGCATTTTCACCCCACCTGGAACTCAGGTCCAGCTCAAACTCCAGCTCTAAGTTACATCAATTTATTAGCATCTGCTCCCTTAGCAGGTCCTTCATGTAAAGGAGTGGGAGCTAATTGTCTTCTCTAATGTTTCAGCATTTCCCGCTTCTGATAATGTCAGAGGCAGGAGAATCAGATCCATAGTAACCATGTTTCTGCAAGAGGAAGAAACCCGGAAATAGTGGATATTTTCTGTACTACAAGCACACAGGAAAATCTGGGCCTATAACCCTTAGGAGAACAATTTAAAGTGTGAAATCGATGGGGGCTGGAGCAATAGCACAGCCGGTTAGGGCATTTGCCTTGC